ATTGGGTTATTACCTTCAATAGTTCACTACAGGTACAAAGGAAGGGCACAAGGGAAGTAAATTTAGCTCTTGCACGACTGAAAATATCTTATTCTATCCTCATTGATGGACAGTTGGCTGGATACAGAAGTGTAGGATATAAATTATAATATTGAAGGCATTGATCCATTGTCCACTAGATTCCAACGTGTTCTTGAGAGGTCCATTGATTCTGATTCCCTTCTTTTTCCCTCTAGAAGTTTATATTTCTTCTCTGTATCCCTGATATTCAAACGTTCACAGTGGTATCCCTGACTGGGTCTTTTTCATTGCCTGTGCTAGGCACATCCCTTGTGCTAGCCCTTTTAAGTTGGAAATTCATGCTTTAGTTCTGAGAATTTTCTTGTATTATTTTCTTGATAAGTATCCACTTGGCTCTCTTCCTGGCATTTCTAGTAGTTGGCTTTCACCTTCTTAGTATTATCCTCTTGCTTTATGTATTCTCTGCATTTTTCATCTTTTCCTCTTTTTTGTTCTATCTTCTGGAAGTTTCTCTGAATTTATTTTTCATATTAAATTTTTATTTTGACTCACCTATTTAACTTTACAGAGGTTTTCCTTGTTTTTAGGATTTTTTAAAAGCTTTCTGGTTCTTGTTTCATGGATACATTATTGTCCTGGCTCTTTTCAGGGAGATTGTCAATTTGAAGTTGTTCCTGGTGTCTCCCGATTCTTTTTGCAATTTATTTGTTTTGTTTCCTGTGTCTTTTAAGATAGAAGCTTTCTCCCATGTCTAGAGAGGCTTGGCCATCAGCTCTTACTTACAAGCCTAGAAAGCTCTTTGCACATAAGCCAGACTTGGGCGTAGGGGTTTCTGTCTAATAGGATGGACCTTCAAACCACCTCAATGTGAAGATTCCCAAATGGTAGTCTCTGGGATTTAATCTAGAGGAGACTCTCATGTCCTGCCTGGGATGGTGGTGGTGGTGGTGTGGGTGGATGGGTGGTTGGGGTGTGTTGTAAAACTTGCTACTGGCATTCTGGAAAGAGGGATGGGGCAGTACCAGATTTTCACTCAGTTTCCCTATTTCCAGTCTGTTCTTCCTGCTATCGCATCTGCCCACTCACAACTCCTTTTCAAGTACTGTTGCCTCTGCTCCCATTTGCTTGGTCCTTGTTGACTTAACCCTTTTATTTTACTGAGAGGTTGGGGAGAAAAAAAGAGAAACAATGCATTATTCAATCCGGCCTGTGTTGTTTCAGTGACAGGAGACTGAATGAGCAAGATCCAGGCAGGGTTTGCCTTCTCTGTGGTACCACACGACTCCCCGTCACCGCTGCTGTCTGGGTGTCGAAGTCCTCTTCTATAAAATGGAAAAGTAGTACTAGATGAATTTCACAAGCTCTTTCTATTCTGAAATTATGTTTCAAGAAACTAGAACCTGAGCTCCATGGCTTTTAAATTTATTTGTTATATTTTTAGTGCTCCCAAGATGTCCCACCAATCTCCTTTGAAGACTGTTTCTTCCCGTCTCTTGAACCAATGGCCACAGGTGGGGCTGGCTTCATGGGTGTGCAGTCACACATGACCCCGTGCTCAGAAGGGCCCTGGGCTTGCTTTAATGTTCTGCTGCTGCTGTCTTGAAATTCTTAGTAATTTTTTAACAAGAGGCCCCAGGAATCATGCACCCAGTCCTGGGCACGGGATGGTCACAAGCCAGGACTCATTTTTCAAGGACTTTAAGGCCCTCAGCCAGAGCCGCAAGTCCTGTGGCTGTTCCTGGAAGGGAAGGAGGGGCAAGACCGCATTTGCCCCAAGACTAGAAATGGATAAACCAGCCCCCAACAGGTTCTGCAACTTGCCTGAGATCTCATCACTCAAGAGTTTGGGAAACTCCTGAGTTATTTAAGCCAAACTCTTGAGTACCTTACTCGAATTTTAGAAGATTGTTTGCTTCTGTTTCACTGGGGCTGTGCCTTCTGGCTGTTGATGTCCTTTGACAAGGCAATTTTACATCCAGAGGACTTGAGTCATTCATCCACTCATTCACTAAAGAAACTGTATGAAACACCTACTTCGTTAGCAGAAAGAGCGGGTTCTTTGGAGCAGGCAAAGCTGAGATAAGGTTCCCCCTCTGCCTCTTGCTGGCCACACAACATGATTTGACCTCCTGAACCTCAGTTTCCCTTCCTGTTTGATGAGAAGAGAATAATTACCTCCCAGCTCAATGATGAGATGATCTGGGTAATGGTCCCGCTACAGTGTCTGACACACTATGTGCCCAGCAAGTATTCATTCCTGTACCCTTCTCCCCAGGACAAACCACAGGGAGTTTCAGCTTCAGTCATGGACAGACCAGGCCATAAGCAGGCCTTGGAGCACTCAGAGGGTCCACACACTGGGGAAATGCTTGATTCTCTCTTACCTCCAGCTGACATGTTGACAGGAGCCCAGGGAAGGAGGAATCTCATGAGTATGAGAGGTGTCAAGGATGGTGTTTGCTTTCTGGAACATCTCTGTGCTTTGTGATTAGCGTTTAATAGGTTCCCAGAAAGCTTTGAAGATAATAACATATTTCCCTTCCCTTTCAACTGGTGATCTTGAAGTGATACACTTGTGTCTATAATGATATTTGGAGGCTCTCGCAAGGAGTCAAGACTTGCTCTTATCTTTTAAAAATGACTTAAAAGTCTAGCTACAAAAATTAAACCCACAGAGAGGAGTGGCACAGGAACGCATCCTTATAAATGCCTCCTCCACAAGCTGTGCCTGTTTTGTGAGAGGAATGGGTAGGAAAATCTAGTAAATCAAGCCTAATTTATGGCACTTGTGCCTCACTTTTCAGTTTACAAAGCTTTGATAAAGCCCTTGCACTTCCGTTGTCCCATTTCTACTTTACACTCTCAGGGGGTGCGTTGGTAAAGTGATCATCTCCACACTGCAGATGAGCAAGCTGACTTGTCCAGGTCACAAAACTAGCACGTAAATTTCAGGCCAGGCTTCAAATCTACTCTCCTGACTGCACAGTCTCTGCTCTGTTGCATCCTTGAAATAGTATTTCGCTATTTCCACACTCAGTAGAACCTCTGTAGCTAAACTTTTAGCTTAACTTGTCCTGGGCTCCAAGGCCTGGGATGTTGGCAGGATGAGGGGATCAGAAGGAGACAGAGGGGCCAGCTCAAATGTGGTCACACCCAGCAGACCAGAGCCCCAGCCTAGCCATGTGGTGACCACGTTCCTGGAATTCCCATGGCCTGGTCACATCAGAATAATGCAGCCCCGAGGGGCAGCCCCATCAGGAGCCAGATGGGTCCCTCTCACCCACTCAAGGACTTCACTCCTGCGACTCGCCCCTCTCTCTCCTAGTTACCGATATTTCATTTCTATTAGCATACAAATATGCTGCAATAGTTCACATGTATCTCCCTTTACTATTGCCCAGTTCTCTGCTCTTCCTTCCAGCAAAACTCCTACAGGTGGTGTCATTACTCACTGTCTGCTCTTCCTCTGTTCTGCTTTGAACCCACTCCAATTAAACTTTCATTCTTACCACTGCACCAAAAACCATCATGTCGATGGTGTGCATCTTGCTAAGTCCTATGCTAAGTTCACTCAACTCTTATTACCAGCATTTGACATTTCTTCTTTCCTGAACTGTCACATGGCTCTGCTCACCGTACTCCGCTGGTTTTCCCCCTTCCACATTAGCTGCTCCTTCTCTGCCATCTTGACTACATTGTTCTTGTCCTCACGTCTCAATGTTACAGGGCCCATGCCTCAGCCCGGGGCTCTCTCCTCTCATCTACTGTCTCCTGTCACTTCCTAGGTGTCTTCTCTTAGTCCCAGGGCTTTAACCCCACTTTTATACTATGACTCTCAAATTCACATCTTCAGCCAGACATTTCCTCTGGATTCCAGATTAAATGGTCCCATGTCCTATTCAGCATCTCCTCTTGCATTTCTGATAGACATACCGAACATAACATGTCCTAATCTTGATTTTTACCCCCAACTCTGCTCATAACAGTCTCCGTGAAGGGCTTCACCACCCACCTCACTATGTCATCCCTGGTTCCTCTCTTTGTCTCACAACTACACCCAATCCATTGCTGGCTCCATCTTCAAAGTACACGTATTTCTCACTGCCCCTTATCCAAGTACTGCCAGGTCTGGGTTGGCTTCCTGTAACAGACTCCAATTAGTCATCTTCATTCCACCCTTATCCTCTGTGGTCTGTTCTCCACACAGAGGCCGGTATAACACTTCAAAGCATAATACAGACCATGTCACTCTGTTCAAAATCCTTCAATGACTTCTCAACACACTTAGAATTAAATTGAAATGCCTAACTATGGCTTCAGAAGGAATATTTGAAATACCCGTATTTGACAACTGGTAGGAGAATATATATTCATGTATACATTTCTATATAAATATTTTAAAATATATTGTTTCATTTTATAAATAAACCAACCTACATCTGTTTATCTATATAACAAATATCCTCAAAAATAATGTAAGCTATCACACAGAGCACTCATCAAATCAGTCTAACAGTTTCTAAATCATTTGTTGCCTTTCAAAAATTATCGGCATGGACTTTTTTTTTTTTTTTAATTTTTACTGGGGAATTGGGGGATGGGAACAGTGCTGGGGAATTGAGGGAAGGGGAACAGACAAGTTACTGTCATTTTGTTCTTCAGTCTAGTTGTGGAGGATGTTGCTTCACTGGTCCAAGTTGGCACCATCATTGCGCTCTTCCCAGGTGAGGCAGATCAGTTGCCAGCTTCTGGACGGCCGCTCACTGCGGCTTGAGGGCCGCTCACGCTGGCTGCTGGCTACACACGGTAGCCCATGGCAACCCACTGTAGCAGGGGCTGCAGCCTACGCTGTCGCCGGAGACTCACGGCAACCCAGCTCCAGGTTGAGCTGTTGTTCAGCATCTTAGCTGTAGAGGGCAGCGTCACTGGCCCTCATATGTGGGATCCAAACCGGGGCCCTCTGGCGTCCCAAGCCAGTTCTTAACCAACATGCCACTCGGCCAGCCCTCGGCATGGTCTTTTGTTAGATATGTTCTCACTAATCAAATAATGCCCCTATTGGAGCTATAATTTGACAGAGGGAAATGCAACAAACTCTTCCAATAGCTGCCCCACTAAATCAGTAGCCACTAGGTAACTTGTGAACTCAAAATAGAGAATTTCTCTTGATAACAACAATATTATTTTTGGTAACAAATTGCCTCTCAGCTTGAACTAAGAATAATTATATGCAAACATTTTCTGTTTCTTGTAGTATCGTCTCAGATGCTTATATACTCACAATCTTATTATGGGCTAAATCCCAGAAATCTCATGTGCAGTGCTGTATTTAAAGAGGCCAAGTCCAGTTCTTCCAGAGGGCTCCTGGCATGGCGGCCACAACTGTGCATTTTCCACCAGGCTACTTGGTTTTGACTCCTGGCTCAGCCACTTACATACATTTCAAATGACGGCTCTTTGTTTCAGTTTTCTTGTCTGTAAAATGGGGCCACTGATGATTCTAACATTCAAATGAGTTAATATGTTTAGAATGACGCCTGGCTCAGAAAATGCTAGATGTGCATTAGCTCTCACTTTACGAAGTGTTGTTAGTGCCCTTGGCTGGAAGGCTGTGTTGGGTTTGAACAAATGTACACCCCTAAATGGAAGTGAAATTCGGTAAGAATGGTGAAAAGAGGGAGCTGCAGCCTGGTGTCCTCAGGCCCTTCCTTCCTCCACGGTCTCCATCCTGTCTGTACCTGCTATTCCAAGAGAGGCCCAGATGCCTGGCTGGTGCCTGTGCGGGCCCCACTTAGCTGCTCCCCCACGCTTTCCCCAGCTCTCTCTGAACCACAATCCCATGAAGGTCGTCATCCCCACAGGCAGGCATGGGTTAAGCGAGCAGTACAAGATAGCCACGGAGCCACAGCTGGCTAGCTGGCCACTAGTTGACCCGCCAGGCTCCCTTCTCCCTTCCGTAGAGGGAGCCAATGATGGAGGCCAGGAGGTGGGAACGACAAGGAATACATGGTACGGGCTGCACAGGTGTGTGGGCCAAATGTCAGCCCTGTGGGTCCAGAAGGCCTTTGGCAGCGGGGCCTTGCCCAGCGCTCCGACCGTGAGGCCCATGACTCTACCTTTCACCCATTACCCTCTGGCCACACTGGCTTCCTTTCGTTCTTCAAACACACCAAGTCCAGACCTGCCTCAGGGTCTTTTTACTCTCCCTAGGGTTTATTCCTCCATATTCTTATATGGCTCTCACTGCAGTGCCATCTTGGCTCAACTGATCCATCTTCAGAGAGGCCTCCCTGATGGCCCTATACAAATTCTGTTCATTTCCCCCACCTGTCACCCTATATACCTACCTGGCTTTAAAGCATTTATCACTCCCTAAAGTTATATTTTATATTTATCTGTTGTCTGTCGTTTTGCCATGATAAATATGATGCCATGAAATAACAGATGACAAATACTGTTGCAAAAACTGTTGAAAGGTGTAGAAAATGCTGAAAATTTAGAAGAAACAAGGATTAGAACAAATTACACAGGTTTGTAATTTGAAGGTTTGCAGTATAGTTGGATAAAATATAGATATTTCTAACAAGTCCCTGCTCATGATAGTCTCTAGATTAGGTTTCAGTAACAGATTGTAGAAAAAACTGTATACTTTTGAGGCAGCTTTAATGGGAAGAGGCACCAGGAAGCAGATATTCTGGACAGTAAATCATTTCTTTTATAAAAAAAATATTTTGTGGTAAAATTGTGTCCATGTAACCATGGAAGAATTGGCTGCTTTGAATAAAATAATAAAAGAACTCTGAGATAAGACTGCTTAGCAGTGTCGCGGTTGTAACCCATCCATTGCCTCATTCGCCAGCAGGAAGTGGCAGCCAAAGTTGGAGGCAGGAGTCCACTCACTGCTGCAGAATGCCATGGACATAGTTAATTTTATACACACAAGACCTTTCAGATGCCGTGGGGCTGTTACCGTAATGGGTGTGAGCTGAATCTCTATGAAAGTCCTGTGCTCCACACAGAAGGTTGTTGATTATCTCATGGCGAAATACTTAAAAGACCTGTCAGACTTAGTGATAAGTTATCTTTTTAAACAAAAAGGCATGTATTCCTGCCACGACAAGTGTCTGTCAGCAGTATACTTACTACTTGGCAGATATTTCCTAAGTTGTGAATGCACTTAATTTGTCCCTTTGGGGCAAAGAGGATGTTTTAACAAAGTAAGCAGCTGAATGGCTGGGTGTGTTGACTGGACTTATCTTTATATTTATGATCACAGATGTCCAGGGGCCCCTAATGCTGCCTGACAATTTACTAGACTTCTGATCTAACTCGCCCGTTTTCAAGAGATATTACACCTCTGCTCTCTCCTCAGACCTTGTACAGCCCTCCCACTTGCATGCTCAGCAGATGGCTTGCTTCTCATTTCAGGAGGGACAATCAGGAGAGCCCTCCACCGGTTCCCACCGGTGCCTGCGTCTGACTCCAGTGCCTCCCCTTCTCTCTTGGTCCTGCCGCAGATGAGTGGTCCATGCGGATCCCATCCCCCCTCCCCAGTTCAGTGATAGGCCCTTGAAATCATTCCCTCTCTTTTGCACCATCATTTTTCTCTTTCTGAGTTTATTTCCATCAGCTTATAAACAGCTTAAGCAAGCAAAGAGACAAAAACAGACAAACACGTAAAAGTCTCCCTGACTTTACGTCACCTACCAGCTATAGCTCCTCTGCTTCTGTCTACAACCAAATCCCCCACAAGAGTGGTCCACACTTTTGCACCATTCTCTATTGAACCCGCTCTGTTTGGCTTTCATCCCCAACATTGAAGCCACTCTTGTCAAGGTCACTGATGACCCTAGTTCAAAACCTGGTCAGTCCCCAGGCTCCATCTCACTGCAGTTCTCAGGAGCATGTGACACAGTTGACTGCATCCTCCTTTTGGACACACTCTCTTCCCTTGGCTTCCAGGAATCCACACTCTACGGGCTTTCCTTTTACCTCGCGGGCATTCATTCTTAGCCCCCTTTTGTCAATCCTCCTTTGTGGTCTCTGCTTCTCTATGTGGGAGTGCCCAGGTCTCAGTCCTCTGACCTTTTTCTCTCTTTACACTCACACCCTTAATATCTTATCCAGGCTCTTCACTCCGAGTTACACCGCCAGTTGTTACCTTTCCCCTGAACATCTAATGCGTCTATTCCACAGCACACTCAGCATCACCACTTGGATATCGAATAGGCATCACTAACTTAACCCCAAAAGGAACTCTTGATTTTTTTCACCCAAACTCTATCATGAGCCCACACAAAAGTCTTTCCCATCTCAGTAAATGGCACCTGCATTCTTACATAGGATCAGACGCAAAACTTTGCAGTCATCTTTCACTCTTCTCTCTCACGCCCTACATCCAATCCCTCAGGAAAGACTCTTCGCTTATACCTTTGAAGGTGACCACTTCTCATCAGCCTCACCACGCTCACCCTGTAACAACAGCCTACACCTGCGTTATTTCGGTTGCCTCCTAAGTGATCTCCCAGCTTCTCCTCTGCTCCCTTACCACCTATTCTCCACAGCCCAGAGGAAACCGTCTAAAATATGAAGCAGCTGCTATCACTCTTCTGCTTTCCATCTCACTGAGGATGAGCTCTGATGTCCTTACTATAACCCACAAGACTTGAGTCATGGCCTAGCCCTGGCCACCTCTCTGACCTCACACCCTCTACCACCTCCTGGCTTATTAGGGGCCACCTTACTGCCTAGGTCCAGAGTGCTAATCCCCCAAACATCTGTATGACTTTGTCCCCCACTTCTTTTAAGTTTCCTTTCAAACGTCACTTTTATCTGAGAGGCCTTTCTATCTCCATTTTGATCTCCCTTGATGATCTCATCTAGTCTCTTTAAATACCCTCTAGATAGAGATAACTCCCAAATATTTATTTCCAGTCCAGAATTTGCCTCTGAACTCTAGACTCCTATATCCAATTGCCTTCTCATCCTACCTGGATGTCCTCTAGATATCTCTAACATAACATGTCCAAAATAAAAGTCTTGATTCTTCCTCTATTCCACTCTCAAACTGTTCTATACACAGTCTGTCCCTACTCAATCAGTGATAGCTTCATCCTTACAGTTGCTCAGGGCAAAAGTCTTGAAATTATCCTTGACTTCTTTCTCTCTCTTACAGCCCATTTCTTGTCCATCAAAATATCCTTATGGCTCTACCTTCAAAATCTGCACTTCCAGGTTCTGTCTACTTATCACTGTCTCCACTGCCTTTACCTGGGTCAAGCTACAATTATAACTTGTCTAGATTAGGGTAATAGTCCCCTGACTTGTATCCCAACTTCTACCTTTGCCCTTTAGTACTCTATTCTCCCCCAAAACAGCCAGACTAAGCTGTTAAACATAAGTCGGATCATGTAACTTCTCCAATGGCTCCCCCGATATTTCCCCAAGTCATATTCTGCCCCAACCACATTTTCTACTCTTCCTTTAGCTCACTGTTCCCGCCACTCACTGACCTCCCTGCTGGTCCTTAAATGACATGGCATAAGGCTCAGGGCCTTGGTACTTCCTGTTCCCTCTGCCTGGAATGATGTCCCCAGCTTGGCTCTTGAGCCCTTGCCTCAAAGGTCATCTTCTCAGGAAGACCTTTCTTGACCACCCCATTAAAAACTGAAGCCACCTTATAGCTCCCATTCTCTTTCCTGATTTCTCCTTGGTACACATCACCATTTATCATACCATGTATTTCCTTATTTGTTTTTGTCTCTCCCCACCAAAATATAACCTCCATGAAGGCAAGGACTTTTGTTTATTTTGTTCACTGCTGAATCCTCCAGACCTAACGAATACATCAGGGAATGAATGTGCCTAATGAAGGAACACTAAAAGCTAAATTTAATGAGCATTTACTAGGTGAGGCTCAATTAGAAGGGATTCATAGGTAATATATTAATAGCTAATTTTTACAGAGAAGGAAACTGAGGCACAAGGAAGCAGAAACGCCGTGATTAGAAACCCAGGTCTAACTCAACCTGCTTTCCTTCCTCCAGAACCCTATGCCTCTCCTGTGCTATTAAAAGACAACACGAAGTGGCAAGCTGCCAGCGGTCAGGGTCCATGCTTGGGAACATGGGCCTTCATCGCCTCCCCTGCAGCCTGAATCAGTAAAACGGTCTTGGAATTAACAGCTGTCAAAGGAGAGTGTGATTGGTCAGTTCAGTATTAGGCACCGCCCAGTTTCTTACTGGTTGGTGTTAGTTACCTCGGCTAGGAAAGGGATGCTGTCTAGGAGAGGGATGCAGGATCTGCGAGCTTCGCCCCAGGAGCCTTCCCGGCAGCCGTCGGGACCGGAATCCGACGTCAATGTCTCAGTTTCCCCCCGGAGGGCGGCTTCCGCTGCTCCCGGAAGCTGCACGCGCTGCCCGGGTAACAGGCCCGGGCTGTGTCGGAGGCGGTGCCGTTATGGAGCTGGAGGAGGCGGTGAGCGGGCCGTGAGCCGGGCTGGTCGGGACAGCCGGGCGGGAGGGGAGTGAAGCTGTGGAGAAGGGGCCGGAGGAGGCGGACCGGCTGTGGGGGCGGGGCCTGGCCGGAGGAGGGCGGGGCGGAAGGCTGCGGGGCGGGGAAAGAATGGGGCTCGCGGGCCAGTGAGCTTGAGATTTGGGGAAAGACGCTGGAGTTTCCGGCAGGATGAGGTTGTGGGTGAAGGGGAGCGTGTTAGCCAACATGGGTGTGTTTCAGGAGAAGATGTGGAATTTGTGGGGTGGCCACCCACGTGGCTTATCCTCTCTCGACAGGACCACCTACAAGCTCCCTTTGATGTTGGGGCGGGCTAGGGAGGGCCGGGGTTGGAACCTGAATGCCCCCAAGTAACCCCTGCCAGTCTTTGGGAATCCTCGCCACCGTCTGGTGCAGGGATTCCAAATTCGGGTGTGAGGACACTCCCAGTACTGATAGTGATCAATATGGGGTTAATGAAAACTTGACTAACTTGTCGAAGTAAATTTGGCATGTTTCACACACTGCGTAAAACGCCGCACTCTGATGGTATTAAAGGAGTATTCCATAATTAGGTCAACCATAATGTCAAACACCAAAGAATTGGAAATCAGTAATTTAGGAACAGTCTATGTAGGTATAGAATTATAGAAATAGAAGGCCTTACTTATTGTAGATGCTCAATAAATGTTTGTTGAATGATGGATAGGTAACATCTGTAAATACTGGGTTCATGCCATTAATCATAACTCACTTCAGCCTGTATATCTATGAGTAGAGATCATGTCTGGTTTGCTCCCAGACATGAATCCCCAGCACCTACTTAAATGCCTAGTAGTACATAGTTGATACGCCTTATGTTGCTGAATGAATAAACTGAAACTGGAAACAACCCTAATAAAAATCTGGTTCCTTTGTAGCAAGTGTGTGATTTTAGTGTCCTGGAGGAAGTTTCAATGTACACTATTTCTATTTTTAAGTCTTCTCTATACTTAAACCTTGTCATCCTTTTTCATCTCAGCATTTTCAAGTTTTATTTACTCACCTTTTTTTCCCATTTTAACCCCTACCACCTGTTTTTCCTTTTTTTTCTCTCACACACTGCATATTTTAGAAATTTTAATTTAATTCCATTTCAAGCTGCTCAAGAAACTGAACCGCACTTCTCCCTTTTATAGATAATCTCTCTGACATGTTTTCTATGATTTTTAATGTATAGGGTAAAATTGCAGGGAAGCCTCTAGTAGAAGTGCAGGGTTTAGGTACAATGCATTGAACGTGGTTTTCCTCTTTTCCTACAGAAAGAGTTCAGAGAACGCTGTACTCAATGTGCTGCTATCTCTTGGGGTCTTACGGATGAAGGCAGATATTATTGCACTTCTTGCCACAACGTTACGGAAGTAAGTAACAAATCTCATTTATGAATTTGCTCATGTTTTAAAAATTGCAATTTCAGCCTAATATGTGGCATAGTTCCCAAAGAATTGATCTATTTCTAATCACTCATGCAATGCCCAAATTCCAAGAATGTAAGTAGCCTTTAAGTGCTTACATAAGGGTTAAGGAATTTGTAAATTAGATTAGGGTAAGTTTTTGAAATTGTATTGGGCCATATATATAAATGATTTCCAAACTCAGTGTAGTTTAGGGAAATAATTAAAATTGTATTTAGAAGTTGATGTATTTATTTTTATTAGTTAATACTTATTTAAGAGATTTTGTGTTGTGGTAGCTTAGAGGTTTGGAAGATGAAATGTTAGAAAGATTGAGGACTGCAGGGAGTATTGGAAATATGTTTCATTATTATTTTTCTTTGTACAGTACCTTACAGATTACCAAGTGTTTTCTTACCCATTATTTAATTTCCTCCTTATAACAATAATGTATGAGGGCCGGCCGAGTGGCACATTGGTTAAGAGTTGTATAGGGACACCAGCACTGAGCATCAGGGCCCCGGTTCAGATCCCACATGCGGGCAGTGATGCTGCACCCTCTACAGCTAAGATGCTGAACAACAGCTTGACCTGGAGCTGGGCTGCTGTGAGTTGCCGGCATCCGCGTAGGCTGCAGTGGGGCTGGCCGGCAGCTGGCTTGAGCATTCGTGAGCTGCTGTGAGCGGCTATCTAATGGCCGGCAAGCGACTGCCTCACCCGGGAAAAGCTCAATGATAATACCAACATGGGCCAGTAAAGTGACGTCCTCCACAACTAGACTGAAGAACAAAAAGGACAGCAACTTCTCTGTTCCCCTCCCCCAATTCCCCAATAAAATCTTTAAAAAACAAAAAATAGTATGTGAGATATGTACTATTATGCCTATCTATAGATGCAGCAAGTAGGGCTCACCAGTTGAGTGAGTCTGCAAAGTTCCACAATTATAAAATGTTGAGCCAGGAATTGAACCTGAGTCTTCTGACTTCAGTGTTCATTTTACCCCACCACACCTGCCTCCTAAAATAGAAATTGTCATACTGTTGTGTGTGGCATTGGTAAATGAGGTTACCTTCACACTGGAAATGCTAGGTCCTGTTCTAGTTACACACCTACAGGGCAATAACCAAAATAATAAAGGGTGTGGACAACCTGCTAATAGAGAGGCTAAACATACCAGGACTCTTCTCTGGAAAAGGATTTGCTCAAAGCCTACAGAGCCAGGAAAGAACAAATATTACCTTCACCACATAGGCTTAAGAAAGGCAAATTTGGGACCAATGAAAGTAACTGTGTAGACTTTTGCTGCTGGCCAAGATGGAGTAACAGGAACCTGATTTACCTTCTTACCCTAAACAACTAAATATAGGAGGCAAGTAAAAACACAGTTTCCCTTGAGAAATGTGGTTAATTTAGCTTGCAACTCAATCACACGATGCTTTTCCTTGAGACAATCATTGTTCTTCTGTCTGCAGCGGAAGTTCTTATGTCTCCTTCCCATTTAGACATACAGTATTAAAAAGATAAGTGCTCATCCAATGAAATTGTTGGGATGGTGGATATGTTCATTGTCTTGATTATGGTGATGGGTTCATGGACCCACACACACATCATATTGTCTACTTTATTACGTGTAGTTTGATCCTCTGCTTTGACACATGTTAAAGCACACTGGTAGTTTTATTCAGCATTGCTTTTGCACCAGCAGTGCAAATGTAAACACAGTGAAGGATGATTGTGTCTAAATAGACTGTCATTAGCAGATGAAGCCAGCATGCAATTTTTGTAGAAATGAAACTACAATAACGAATTGCTTCTTTTATGTCTGTCTTTTATAATGTTTTTATTCATTTCTGTCTGATACAATCTTCTGCAGTCGTATTTTAACTTGAAAGGTCCTAATACCACTACCTAGTTCCACGTTTGAAAGATTGTCAACCTATATGGAGTAACTTGTCAAGAATGTAGCATTCTTGAAAGGGAGCAACATGTTTATATAGTCCAAGAACTTAACTCAGTGCCTTCCATATGATAGACAAAACTGTGTGGTCACTCTTGGCTTTATGGCAGTCCAGGCATGGCCTTCATAGAGAATGTGATATGATAGGTGCTTTCTGCAGTGTGGTGGTATAGTGTGGAGGTGTCGAGATCCAACGGGTGTGGAATGGCTGATGAGACGGTAGGCACACCCACGAAAAATAGAAGTCATGGTATAACTTTCCCTATTTTTCTGCCTCTTTCTTTGCCCTCCATCTTACTCTGTATATAACTCACAAGCTCTAAATATTCGGTAATCTGGAAGAAGCCTTCTGAATTGGTAAACGAATTAGAATGTTCTCTTGGTATATTTTATACAGGAAAAAGTTTTCAGGTCTTAAATCTGGCCAATTTGTATAATACATATTCTTGCAAGCATTTCATGGGCATTTAATAAAGGCGTAGTAGGCTAGAATTGTGTGAGTTTACTAGACTTTTATGATTATAAGAGCAAATTTACTGTAGAAAATTTGGAAATTATGAAGATGAAAGCTAAAATCACCAATGATTTCAACACACAACATTTCAATAGCTTCCTTTTAGTCTCTTTTTTTCTATGTATCAGAAGGGAAAGGATGTGGGTGAGTCCTATTGAATCTTCTATCTTAATAAATTAAATATTTCCATGAGTCATTCTAAATATTGTGGACATTTTAATTGACTGTTTAAATATCCACAGTGCAGCCAACCACTCAGTAGCTTAATTAACTATAGCTCCAATTTAGATATTTAGCTTTTCCCACAATAGCTTTTGGTTATTTCACATTTTATCTAGTCCAGATTTTAAAGCCTTTTTTTCCTGCCTACTCTTAAGAAGTTTTACTGTCTCTCCTGGGTAACTGCTTTGATATGTATGCTACTGTGTCTTGTGTTCTGACTGCGGCCAGCCCGGTCCACCAGAACTGTTCTGAATATGGCGTCTGTGAGTAGAGAGGCTGTGCACCAAAAATCCTGTTGTTGGAGACATTTCTTTTATTCCTAATGAAAGTTGAAGATAAATTTCATTCTAAATCCCTAAGTTTAGAGAAATATATAAATGTTCCCTGTTAATTAAAATCCTTCATCTTTTTTCCATCAAGACTTAATATTTGTGTGTGTGTGTGTGTGCGTGCGCACGTGCACGCATGCCACCCAGAATCTTAGGTACCAGCCCTTGAAGAGCACTTGGAATTGAAGACTTTGGGGTGAATTGTACTCACCATCTTGTCATTCTAAAATCCTATAAATTCCATTAAAAACAAAAAGTAATACTTTTATACTTTCATAAATAAAGCTGTTTTAGAGTATTACTCAAACACACAGAAAAATAGGATAATACTAAGGTGTGTGTAGATTAGGCATTGCTGATTATAAATAAATACAGAAATTATTTTAATTCCGAAGTGCTTTGGATGCAGAAAAAAGTGAATATATTTGACTTTAGTTTGGTTTGAAACAATTAAAAGGTAATTTGAAATAAAACTAAAGTTTATTCATTTGACGGACACTTATTTAGTATTTAGTCCAGAGACTGTTTTAGATACTGCGTAATTTTGAATGAGAAAGCAACAGAAAGGTTAATCAGAATGTTCCAATTTATGTAATTTTCCCACAAACATTGGTCCTGGCACTCACAGTTTGGTTCATTATACTTCTAGAACATGTGTGGAAATATATTTAGGGAGCTGTAAAGATATCTTTTTAATGTATTTCTGTTTCCTACAGAGGTCTCAGGAAGTTATAAGCACCGAGGCTATTCCTAATAGTAAAATACAAGCCATCAACCGGGGACTTAAAAGAAAAAGAAAACTTGGTAAGCTCTTCATATTGCTTAACATTCTTCAGTGATGTTTTTCATCTTCATGATTTGGGGATGTAGAATGGAATAGTAAATAGATTCTAGAGAAATTGCCAGAATTTTAAGCTGGTAATCCAAAATGGAATTAAAGTGGGTCATTATTGATGGTAAAATTGGAAGCAAATGTCGTAATGCATGTCCTTTTTCATCCTGCTTATTGTCAATGAGTTACTTTTTTAGTGGAGCAACTATTATGCAAAAAATAATGATGGCAAAAGGAGTATATCTCTTTTTATCTGTTGGCATATGTTTTTCTGTTCTATATCTGTCATCTGTGATGAATATGGTTTTCTGTGCTTTTAAAGGAAAATGCTTATTTTTTAAATGATTCAGCTGGAATTGTCAGGTTAGGCACGTTAAACCTGTTACTCAACTTTTAGAAATCCATTTCGCACGTTGCATTTTGGACACACCCTTTTAAAATAGGGAAAATCATTTTCCATTAATATAGCCTCAGCATAAGTATGCTTTGAAAGGTAATCTATTTTATTAATCCAGTGAGTATGTTTAATTAACCATATTTGAGAAGACTCTGATGTAAAAAAAGTCTATGATGCCTTTTATTTCTGTGACTAATTAACTAGGACCAGATTCTCAAGTTTGAAACCAGACTAATGATAATGGTGGACCATTCTACATGAGGTAGCTTTAATGATACACACACATAAAATATATTTTATATATTTATATAAATTGACATTGACAAAAATACATTGACATTCTTAAGTGAATAACAGAGAGAATGCCTAAATGCTAACTTGTGTTTCTGTTTAACTTTTAATAGTAACTATTTTTATTAGACTAAAACCTGAATAATTTTAATTAAATTTTATTAGAGTAAAACCTGATTAATTTGAACTTGACCTATGTAAATAATTAAAATGTATAGTTTAAACTTAAATTGCGGAAGGAACTTCAGGTGCTTCAAATTGCCAAGGGTCTTATATTCAGTCTCTTTGACTTTAGTTTCTTTGTCTGTAAAATGAGAATGGTAATACTATCTGTTATGCAAAATTGGAACCCAGACACGGAACTTAAAGTACATCTCATCCGTTTGTGAGAATAATGTGCAGAAAGAAGAGAACACACATGTACACAGGCTGAAAAGCTTCAACTCCCTCAGCGTCAACTGAGGGGTGCATCAAAATGACAGGCTTTATAAGACCCTTTCCAGAAATTGAGTTAGTGGGGATAGGGAGACGTGGGACATGGAGGTGAGGGAGGGGAGTAGGAGACCTATGACATTGTGTAGGGGAGGGAGATCTTGGAGTCATAGTAATAGGCTTTAGAAGCTATGTGTGAAAAAGCTGATAACATACTTTTCAAAAAGCACAGTATTTGTCCAGCAGAGAGGGGTAAAACATAAGGGTCTTACCAGATTTTGACATTTTCTTTAACTGGTAGTTCTATTTAAACGTGTGGCGCTTGTCTATTATGGTGGCAGATTTCTTCACAATCCCTTAGGGTTGTTTTGAGGATTGAAGAAAATAACCTATTTACAATCCCTAACACACATCTGGTACCTAGGCAGAGCTCCATAAGGATGTGTTTCTTTGCTTTCTCCCTATAACCTTGAACCATTTCCAGAAAAGCAGAATGCCATTGAGCAGTTTATTGTTTTGAATGTTCTTATTGCTCTTTCCTGTGTGCTTGAAACGTCACGTCTTGGCTTTTGTTCATTCGTTCTCCAAATACTGATTGTTCCCTTTTGTTGTGAGTTGGAACAGAGAAGTGGTAGAAGCAGTGGATGAGTATAGAGTATTCTTCCACTTAGGATTCTACTAGGCATTGTTCAGTACAGTCTACAATTTTAAAATTTATTTCATTTTTTTTAACATGGTGACTTCATTTTTCTGCCCTTTACATTAATATTTCAGAAAAATTACAGATAATTTAAAATATTTAAAATCTGATCAATTATAAATATAATGATTAGCTTTAGCATTTATGTACAAATTTGCCACATTCGAAACAAGAGACTGTAAGAATGGAAACCCTACTCAGAGATACAAAAAAATTCCAGTTACAGTGTGTAAAACACTATGTAGTAGCATTACAGTTAGTAAATTAGGAATGCAGATGTCTGAAACATGTTATTTGTCGTTTAGAGAAAGGCTGGGATTGGTATGTGTGTGAAGGTTTTCAGCACATACTTTGTCAACAAGCAGAAGCCTTAAAGACCCTTGGAGTAGGCCCAGAATTAAAGGTAAGCCCATGTGTGTCTAGGCGTTAGCTTCACATTTGGTTGTTTGAAGAATAGTAAGATTTAGAGTGAAACTAGAGTTTAGAGGAAAAAGTATAGAGTTATCAGTAATAACACTAGGGCTACTGGAAGAATAATTTTTCTGATATTTTTGCTTTAATCCTTTTATTAGATCAGCAATTCTCAAATTGTGTTCCACAGGATGCTAAAAAGCAATACATCTAAAAGAAAATAAAGGTTTGCTTCATCAGATATTTAGGAAACATTGGGTTAAACAAAGTAAAGCAACTTGGCAGACTTACTGGTGCCTTTTATGTGTTAATGTGCTTGTTTCATTTCTGAGAGCGTGTAGTATGCAGTATTCATAGTTTGAGAGCAGAATGCTTTGGTGTGTGTATGTGTGTGTAGCCTCTATCAGTACCTGAGTTCTAGAATGCACTTTGGGGAGTGATGCATTACACTGGTGGTTCTCAAACTTGAATTCGTGTTGGAATCCCCTGGAGGGCTTGTTACAATGCAGATTGCTGGACGCCATTCCAGAGTTTCTGATTCAGTAGTTATGAAGAAAGCCCCGGAATCTGCATTTCTAACATGTTCCCAGGTGACGCGGGTGCTGCCGGTTCAGGGACCACACTTTGACTTTGCTGCCTCTCAGGAGTACCGTAGTACCCCTGCTATTATTTGAATTTCATACTTCCTCATGTAGTTGAAGCCATCGCAGGAGCTCTTTAAAAGCCAGATATTTAGCAACAAGTGGTTATTGTATACTTGCTTCATGCCCACCACTGGAAACTAAATGCTAAGAGATCTGGCCAAGGTGGAGAGAGGGTTTATGCATATGTGGAATGAATAAACATAACATTATGTCACAGTATGCTCATAAGTGACATTAAGGGAAATAGAGAAGGGAGAAGAATCAATGTGAACTGATGTCACTAAGGAAAGATTTGTAGAGGAACCTTTGCTGTTCAAACCAGTGTCTGGTGCAAGCCAACACAGAATGGCCTCTACACCAATGCATGGCCTAAAGGACTCCGGACCGACCCTGAAAAGTATTATAGGAATTAAAAACTCAAAAACGTGCAACACCAGAGGTGTATGCATGACAGTCATTGCGATAGGTAAGATTGCTGGTTAAGGCAAAGCAGGTAAGAATACATTTAGATGGAGGGCACTATGTCAAGTACAAGAGATTCGGTGGTGTAGATGTGCCATGTAGTTATCATGACCTGAATCACCACTCATTTCCCTTCCACCTTAGAATGAAGTTTTGCATAACTTTTGGAAGCGCTACCTTCAGAAGAGCAAGCAGGCCTATTGTAGAAACCCAGTGTATACCAATAGAAGGAAAGCTACGGTAAGTCACATGTCTGAAAAGCGGGACAAAAAGACATTTGTAGGGAGACGCAGAGATGAAGATGGGTTCAACCTCATCTGGGTTTATGATGCTTGTCAGGATTTGCAGTGAAGAGGTTTCTATTACAGTCCAGAAGGACAAGCTCACTGATCTAACATTGGAATTAATTTTGACTTCTTATTTGAGTAGTGGAAACGTAAAGAAATATGTGGTTCAGGTCTAAGTAGAAACTTAAGAAATTTCTGTAATTGTGCCATTAAAATTTTTTTTTTTTGCATATGTTATTCCTTTTGCTTGGAATACTTACTTTACCTGGCATTTCAAGATTCAGCTCAGTTATTGTCTCTTCTCAGGAGTCTTTATGTGAAGAAGAATAAGTTTGGGCACCTCACAACCCCCCTCCCCCCATTCCCCAGAGCAGCTATATTTTTAGGAGTTTGCTTTTAACTGCTTTATAAATGTGCCATGGTACATTTTATTTCAGGTAGGGGAGGATTCTTCTGCTGAGAAAGGCAGGTTTGATAAACCATGATGTGTTTGTTGTGTGGTTCTTATTCTCCAGGGCTGAAAAGAGATTCTGAAGCTGTTTGACACGTATTTGTTGAGAGCTTGCAAACTTGGTCCGCTGTGTTTTCTTGTCTGGTTGGGATCTCATGGGTCCCACAGGCAATGTTTATCAGCCCAGGACTGAGAACCCCAGGTCTGGTGAAAGGACTAGGTCAGTTGGTCTAAGAAGGAGACCTAAGTAGTCAAGCCATGCAAGATACCATGATAAAAGTGGGAGTAACCTAAGGAATTAGTTTAGGAAATATTCTTTCTAAACATGAGACGATGAATTTAAATAAACTCAAGAGAAATAACTGGAATTTACTGGAAAAAGCAACATTTTATAGTCATAAGAGTTATGAAACATTATCCTATCTTGATTCAGGCTGCAGGTACTTCTCAAGAAAAGCAAAAGATGCTCTGTGATCCTAAGGTGACCTTTGAAAGAGAAAAAGAAAGAAAGAGAATCATTCTAACTATTAAGAACCTCATACTTAAAATTAAATAGCTAAGGTATTTGTTGGTTATATTTATGCTCTGGGGCTTTGTGTAGCACACAGAAAATTTGAATCAGAACCTGGGATTTTCTCTGACACTAATATTTTTAGGTTAAGATATTTAAAGAGGTTTTGTTGACTTGAGTAAGCACACATCTAAAGTAATAATGGCATCACACTAAAATCTTCCTTAGTGAATAAATAAGCAATAAGCAAAATTTTAAGCTGATATATAATTGGTGATATAGTTTCTATCAAAAGAGTACAGCTGTACTCTCATTTGAAAGGAAAAAGGAACAAGCGCTTTTAAATTAAAAGCTAAGTCATCTCAAATACTCAGGAAACCTCATCTTCGTGCTTCGGATGTAAATATTCCAAGAATAGAAGGCCTGTGTGTGTGAATCCTGGCTCCAGTGCTTTTGACTTATGTGATCTTGGGTGAAATAAATTGCTGAAAACTTACAGAAAAAGCAAGCAAACAAGCAAGTATATAAATCAGGGTAAGGGGGATAGAAAATGGGGTGTCAACAAAGGGTGCTGTTTGACCTGGAGTGATCAGGGAAGGCTCCCCTGATGAGGGATCATAGGGAAGTGAGAGAGGAAGCCCTGAGGATAGCTAGGGAAGGAAATGCAGACTTTCAGGCCTCACCCACAGCTGCTGAATCAGTCTTCATTTTAACACAGTTCCCAGGTGCCTCCTGTACGCACTAAAGTTTCAGAAGCACTGCTCTAGGTGAGACTTGATGATACCTGGGACCAGGTGGTAGCAATGGCGATGATAAGTGGTAGGATTCTAACTAAACTTTGGGTAGAGCCAACAGAATTTCCTGATGGTTTGCATGTGGGGTGCAAGAGAAAGAGAGGAGTCATCAAGGATGACTCTTAAGGGTTTTGACCTGAGCAGCTGGAAGGTAGGAGTGGCCATCAACTGAAACAACAGGTGGAACAGGAAGATGAATGGTTCAGTTTGGGCATGTTAAGTTTGAGACAGCTATTAGACACCCAAGAGGAACTGTCAAGTACAATTTTTCAGTTCAGGAGAGGGGTCTGGGCTGGAGGTATAAATTTGGAAGCTGTCAATTTACACTATAATCATCAAATCTAAAATGCCATTGTTTGTAAGATGCACCATGATTTTAGAATTGAAGACAATATAGTAGATAGTATGGAAAACCACAGGATGAGATGACATCACCAAGGAGTGAAGACAGAGAAGAGGACTGAGCTCTGGACCACTCTAGGAAGAAGATGTCTGGGATAAAGGAGGAACTGGCTAAGAAGTCTGAGGAACAGCTGGTGAAGCCAAGGGAGTGAGGGGGTCATTCTGGAAACTAAAGTGTCTCAAGAGGAGGGGAATGCCTGCCTGGTCAGGAAGGAAGAGAGCTGAAAATTGATGAGCGGAGCGGTAGGATCCAAAGCCTTATTGGAATGGGGGTAGACGATAGACCGGCAGGAGAGTAATTGCAGACAGCCAATCTGGACAACTCTTTCAAGGCATTTTTTGCTGCAAGGAAGTACAGGCAGACCTCGGAGATATGGCAGGTTGAGATCCAGACCACCGAAACAAGCGAGTATCTCAGTAAAGCAAGTTGTAATCTTTTTGCTGGTGGAGGGTCTTGCCTTCAATTTGTAAAAAATGCAACATCTGTGAAGTGCAATAAAGCAAAGCACAATAAGACGAAGTGTACAAGGAAATCGCATTGTATCCGGAATCAGGGCAAGTTTTTTTTTGAAGCGGGCTAAATGATAGCATATTTGTGTACTGAGAGGAATGATACAGGAGAGCGAAGAAGTGTTCCATGGAGGAAGAGAGAGAAAAGTGAAGGATAATCTTTGAGGAGAAAGAGAGGTGGGCTTGAGCGCACAAAGGAAACAGAAACAGGCTTTCATGGGAGCTGAGATAGTCCGCCAGAAGAATCAGACAGATGGTGGGCACATGGCTGCCTGCACGAACCTGTGGAAGTTTTCTTCTGATTGCTCCAGTTTTCAGTGAGCCCATGGCCATCTGCTGCTTTGTAGTGCATCCAGCATCTCATGTGCTTGCCTGTAGAGAGGCATGTGCTTGACGAGGACACACACATCTTATCCCTGATGTTTTTTGTTTTTTTCTTTGCTTTAGTCTCCTGTGAGTTTCCTTAACATCAGTCTTATTTCCTCTTAATAAGATTGAGCTTCTTGGCTTGCATGGCTGAGAGTATGGCTTTTTCACTGTGATCAGTTCCCCCAAGTTAGTGTCAGCCATAAGGCCGTTAGGTAGGCAACCAACTAACCTTTCTTAGAAACACTTTAACCACCATCTCAATCACAAATGTGTGAAAAATTAATGCTATGAGATAGTATTCTATATCCTTGTCAGTTAAGTGTTATAAACAGCAAGTGCCACAGGAGTTCAAGGAAATGAGAAACCACTGAAGAAGAATTGGTTGGAAAGATGGTGCGATAGAGTAAGTAATGAGTTGGAGAGGAGGAGGAAATAGTCCAGGCAGGAGAGATGGAATTAGCAAAAATACCAAGAAAAGTTCCCCAGGTAGGCTCTGTAAGGAGAGGCCGGCAGTTTGCATGGAGTCGTTACTGACACGAGGGTTTTATTGGTGTAGATACAGGGAAAAGAAGCTGGCAGCCTGTTTCCTCGCTCACCCGTGTCTGTAGTCCTTCTCCAGGAAGCACTGCCAGGAGTCGCCCAGGAAGGAGCCTGTGGTGGAAGTGAAGGCCTTTTAGCCTTAGGTGCTTAGGAGAGCGTCGCCGTTCTCTAGAGTGGTTTCTCTTGTGTTTGTGATGGTCAGGAATTCTTTAAGTTCATGGAAATTAACTCTATTTTAAAATTTCTACACAATAATTTTATTTATATTATTTTGCAAATAGGTATTGGAAGATAATCCAAGTCATTCAGACTGGGATAGTGAGCCTGAACTGCTAAGTGACTTTAGCTGCCCTACTTTTCTTGAAAGTGGAGCAGAGTCTCAACCCGATGACCACACTCGAAAGCCTTTCTCCATCAGCAGAGCATCCCAATCAGGTAAAAATGAGCATCAAACTACCCAGAATTTTAAAGCTGGTACTGCATCTTAAAAATCAGGTAGTCCAATCTCTTTATATTCCAAGGAAAGGAACTTGGCCTAGCAAAATCATATGAATAGGAGAAAGGTAAACTAAGTGAAACCTTAGTGTAATTTTTAAAAAGGTACATTGTCTCCACATTATTTGTGTGTGCTGTTGAAAGAGAGCTAAATAGTAAGTGGATCCAGAAAGAAGGAGGCTAACTCAGGAAAGGTAATATATGCATTTATGTGGGGTTCAGGATTTTCTCAGAACATTTGTAACAGAAATGATTGACCTTAGCCGTATGGTAAGGTAGACAGAAGTCAAAGGTGATATGCCCAGTTTCTAAGCATAGACCAAAGCAAGCTGAATAAAAGCTTCCACATTACGTGTATGTATGTGTATCTTATTTTCTGATTTAATTCCATCATTTAAAAAAGGAGTATAATGGGTTGTTGGAAAAGTCATGACGCATTTTTGCAACAAAAAACAGAAAAAATACATCATGAATTTTCCGACAACCCAATATTTAAGGTTATAGATGCAGACCTTCTCCTCAAAGCATTTATTCATGATTTTAGTTGTTTCTATACTACGTTGAAAGAAAAACACAGTGGAAAACAGACCTCAAAGAACAGACCCGGCTTTATTGTAGATTACTAGAGTTTTGATGTGTGCTGATAGAGTTCTTTGGGAGATAGCTCCCAAACCCTCAGGTGTTAGATATTACTGAAATCTGGGTTAAGTGTGGTTATATCAAGTTTTCAACAAAACATTTCTTGTATGGGCTGCTGCTTTGCAAGCCCCTTGCCCTCCAAAGATTAAAAACTCCTTTTATCAGCATATCTGCATTTCTTGCTAGACTGCATCGTGACACAGATATCAGGTAAGATACTTTTCTGTCCAAAGAAGTGAAGAAGTTAGAGTCATAGAATGATTGGGAAGCTATGAATCTCTGAAGCTTCTTTCTCCACACTTTCAGGAGCCTGAACTCCAACAGTCCCAGAGGACTGTGATTCTAAAACCATGCAAGCCTTTTAAAGCATCATAATTGTTTCTGGATGTTGAGAGGTTTTGTATGTTTATTTTTTAGTAAGTGATGATCCTTAGGGCTTTATTTTAGTTTTTATATTAAAAGTAACTATTAATATCATTCTGATTACAAAACTATAAAATACAGATAGTCACAAAGAAAATAAAATCACCAGTTATTGTACCACCCAGAAATAGCCACTACTGTAGTAGATCATTCCAGAAAGTTCTTCATGGATATATATATATATATATACACATATATATAATAGAGAGAAAGGAGTTGTTTTTTTTTAATGTGAACTATTTCTTCATTCTTTACCTTTTACTCAAAATTCTATATACATGTAATTAAAATACATTTATAAGGCTTATTATAAAAGGTTTTTTTTAATAAAAAATATAAAAATTGTAGTCTACTATTTCTGCTAAATGGCCTGTTCCTAAGAGGCCTTTATTTTCAACTTTCCTGCAACCTTTACATCTCTGTATCATAGGCATTTCATAGTACGTATTTATTGATTTCTGGTTTGGGACATTAGCTATTAAATTCTCTCCATGGAAGATGAAGTCTTAGCTCTTTCACACATTCCTCACTCCCCCTCCTCCCAAATAATCACCAGTACACAAGTTTTCATTTTTCACTCTTTATCTAAAATTATAAAATTATAATTTTTTGCTAGATCAATATTTATTGCTTTATTATAAATATATAAATGCTACTCAGAACTGAGCCACATAACTTACCATGATTATACTTTCTGCATATCCTTTGGTTTTCCTAGTATTGGTAATTGTCTTATTTGTTTAGTTTTCTATTTATTTATTACTAATCTGTTATTTATTAATAATGTGTCTCCATACTTCCTCCCAGTTCTGAAAAAAATCTGTCAACTACTTAGATGTCATGTCAGTTTCATCTTCCGGAATGCTTTCTGAGCCTCTGACCTGCTCTGATCTAGAATGATATGTCTGTAGGCCTGTCTTTGGGATCTCTTTACCGCCATCCTGAGTTTTCTGTCACTTCTCTTTTGTTCAATTCCTTATTTCCTTGGTCCCATTTCATCTTCTTTGCTGCTTCACTCCCTCATTTTTGTGGAGCATCTTTTCTTATTTTGCTGAGGATATTAATAATATTCCCCCAACCCCACCCAATTTGATTGTTTTGACCCCTGCTTTTTTTTTTTTAAAGATTTTTATTGGGGAACTGCAGGAATGGGAACAGTGCTGGGGAATTGGGGGAAGGGGAACAGACAAGTTGCTGTCATTTCTGTTCTTCACTCTAGCTGTGGAGGACGTTGCTTCACTGGCCCAAGTTGGCACCATCATTGCGCTCTTCTCGGGCGAGGCAGATCAGTCACCGGCTTCTGGACGGCCGCTCACTGCGGCTGCTGGCTGCTCACGCTGGCTGCTGGCCACACACGGTAGCCCATGGCAATCCACTGCCACAGGGGCTGCAGCCTACGCCGTCGCTGGCAACTCACGGCAGCCCAGTTCCAGGTTGAGCTGTTGTTCAGCATCTTACCTGTGGAGGGCGGTGTCACTGGCCCTCATATGTGGGATCCGAACCGGGGCCCTCTGGCGTCCCAAGCCAGCTCTTAACCATCGCGCTACTCTGCTGGCTCTGACCCCTGCTTTTATATAGCCATATGCTGTATAATGACATTTTGGTGAACGAAGGACTGCGTATACGCAATGATCCCATAAAGTTATAATGGATTATAAGCAAAAAGTTTGAGATGTTGAAAAGAAAAGGTTGGACCCAACTCTGATGATGAATTTACAGCTAGCTCTGGGTGCTGTAAATAGAGGAGGAGGCCCCAGTGGTGTTTACTGCCACGAGCCCCCAAGGCTAGGACCAGGAGTAGAGGAGGGAGCAATGCTACTCTGGCCTCCTGCATGCACATACCATGTGCACAAACTCACTTCCTTTTTCAACATTTACCTCTCTCTCTCCTTCCTCCCAGCCCCATTCCTCTCCCTCTCTCTCCTTCCCTTCTCCCTTTTATTATTTGTTGTCTCAAGCTTTAATCTCTCTGGATCTCTTTTGATCTCTGCTCCTTTCCCTCCCCTTCTCTTTCCCCCTCTGCCTTCTTCCTCCCTCCACAGCCCCTCCCCCAGAGCACCTAGGTATGTAGTGGGCTATACTGTCTAGGTTTCTGTACATACACAAACCTGTGATGTTCACATGACAATGAATTTCTCAGAACGTATCTTTGTTACGACTGTATTAGAGGCTTTCTTCAAATGTTTAGTGAGCCTAAGATGGCTACTCCTGTTTTAGAATGGAAACTAAAGGGTTGATTGAAAGTTTTGTACCATGTGAGTCTTGTCAGCTCTGCTCTGCATGAGAGGGTGATCTAGCTGGCTTATTTTCTTAGCGATCCTCCAGCATTATCACTTTGAAATCTTTTCCCCCAGAGCTGATCAGATTTTCCATAGAAATCTCAGTGGAGTCTTGTGGTTGGAGGGTGTAATCCTGGCTGTTCTGGGAAGTGGGCAGGAAGAGAGGGCCTGAGGGGAGTGGGGATTGCTTCAAGACTCCACATGTAAACTTTCACTTAATCCTGCTGTTCTCAGTAAGATACCCCCATACTCAGCTGTGTGTGACTGACATGCCTTATTCCAGAGGGCCTTTTTTTACTCTCTTTAGAGGAGAAACTTCCGATTTTCTGCCAGGATTAGGGAGGAGCAGTCATTTGGCTGCACGGAGCTGGGGCAGGAATCTGAGTGTCTAACTGCTTCTTAATGAGACTGTTAAGCAGCCATCCTGGTGTTAGCCCTGCCTTCACCCAATCTCCAGGGGTACTTGCTTCAACCAAAGTCTGAGCCTTCTTTAGAGACCCCCTGGGGAAAATTAGATTGGCTTTCCCTACTTCTGGCTTTGAATCCAGCTTTCTCAGGACTGCTAAGGCAGTAATCACCTGTCTATGTGCTTTCCAGCTTTTAAAATTGTTTTGCTGTTGTCTCCTTCTCCATGTTATTTGTTCTTGGGTTTATATCTTTTAAAAAGTTTATGTAATTGTTGTAGTGAGACAGAGCAGAGGCTAATGTGTGTTTCCAATCTTCCATCTTAATTAGAAGTTGCTACAGTTATACATATATATATGTATATATATATATAATAACATTTTATGGAAATCTGTGTACTTATATATTCTTTTAAAGCAGTCATCCTCAAAGCCTTTAGCATCCGTCAGGACACCTGCAGGGCTTGCTAGAACACAGATGGGTACAGCTCATAGATTCTCAGGTGATGCTAATACAGCTGGCCCAGGGATGACACTTGAGAACCACTGAGTTAAAACATTGTGTAAATTGCCATGTAGTCTACTATTGTGTAAGGAGTTAGTTAATAAAATTTCTATTCTCGGCACTTAGGTTGTTTTAAATTTTTTTTTCATATTCTAAACAGTGCTGTCACAACATGCCTTGACCCTGAATCTTTGCACGTTTTAACAGTCATTTCACTGGGATGAAAATCTTAGCAGTAGAACTGCAAGACCTGTTCATTACCAAATATTTATTGGGCTCCTGCTCGGTGCCGGGGCTGTTCCGGGTGCTGGGGACGCTGTGGTGAGCGAGGCTGTCTGCCTCCAAGGTGCTTAGGTTGTAGTGGGAGGAACTGGGCAATCCACATTAAAAAAAAGGTCAGTTACTGATAAATGCCCCTAAGAAAGTGTTTACAGGGTTTGGAAAAAGGCATTTTCAGCAATAATTTGGAGAGTTTTTGTCCAAGAAAGCTCAGAGTCTCTCAGGGTCATTCCTAGTCGTGCTTTCTGTCTACTCTCACTTCTGGCTTCAAACACCAGCTATACCCCGGATTCTAAAATTCCTTTCTCTAGCCCAGCCTCTGCTCTGAACTATAGATTTTTATATTCAGTCAACTATTCAACATTTCCATTTGTATGTTTAATAAGATCTTACACCCACCATGTACAGTTATGATATTTTGATGTCTCTCATCAAACCTCCTCTTTTGCCATCTTCCTTGTCTCAGTAAATGGCATCTCCATTCTTCTTGTTGCAAACGCCAAAACCCTTAGAGTCTCACTTGCCTTCTCTTTTTCTGTCCAGTCATTTAGTAAATCCTTTTGACTCTACCGTCAAAGTCTGTTCAGAATCCAGCCATTTCTCACCCCCTGCAGTGCTGCACTCCTGTCCAAAAGCCGCTCATCGCTGTCCTGGAGCAGTGCTGTCCTGTTCCACTCGCCCTCCTAGAACTTCATTCTTCAGATAGCAGCCAGAGTGACCTTTTTAAAATCATAAATGAGATCAGGTTGCTCCTCTGTTTAAAACTCTCCAGAAACTTCTTATCATACTTAGAATAAAATCCAAAGTACAAATCATGACCTACTCAGCCTTACATAATATGCTTTCTTACTCTGTCCTATATCACCTACCACTGTCCCTTCTCCCATGATGCTCTTGCCCCACTGGCTTCCTTGTTGTTCCTTCATGTTCACTCCTACTGATGCACTTGGTGTTCTTCCCGAGACCCTGAAGACTTCTCTGAATTCATTCAGGTCTGCTCAGATGTCACTTCTTAAAGAGGCCTCTCTGACCACTCATAAGATAGCACGTCGGTCCCCTCCCCTTCTTTTTCTTTGTATGCCCCCTACATTGCTATTTTCTATGTAACACTTAACCACCATCTGTCAATTGTACTTTCTTTGTTTACTAACTGCCTCCCATTACCAAAATATAAGTTCCAAGAGAAATGAGACACTGTTCACTGTCATTTCCCCAGACCTAGAGCAGTGGCACAAAGAATGAGATGAATAAGTGTTGAATGAGCGAGTGAAGATAAAACAATGCTCTGTGCAAGCGGATACCTGAAGGACAGCAGCTAGAGGAGGTGCTGCCCTCGCCAGTGTCTGGAGAGCCTCTCAGAGAAGGGGGCGCAGGGTGAGGCCTGGGTGGCCTGGCTGGGAGGACTCACACACCTCAAGCTGTGCTTTGTAATTGTGTATCTTCTTATCCCCTAAGAAACAGCATCTATCTGCTCCGGCTCTCTTGATGGAGTCGAATACGCACTACGGAAGGAGAAGGGGGTTGTGAAGATGACTGTGCCAAGCACACTGGCTTTTTGCTACCTGGCGTTGCTTTGGCAGAGAGAGACGATTACTCTTTCTGATCTTCTCAGGTGAGCGGGGCCTCTCGTGATGTTTGCCAATTATCTGTGGAACTAGGGGACAACCTTTGGGTATTTTGAATTTTATAAGGAGGCTTAAGTTGAGGAAGGGACTGAAAAGATTGGGTGGCCTGAGTTCTAATTCTGAAATTGAATCCTTCCTGGACTAGTAACTCATCTCCTTGGTTTCCTTACTTATGTAGTGGAAATAATAGTATTTACCTTACATGGGGTGTTGGAAAATTAATTATCTACTGTGAGTAAAATGCTTTGAAGATGAAAAGTGAGATTTAAATACCTGAGTAGTATTATTAAGTATTTTTCATTTCTAAGGGAGAAGATGAACAGATGACCTTTACATTAGCAAATGGTTATTAAGTAGTTACACAGAAGCATACATTGGTGTTGTTAAGAGCTAAAATATAGGTTGTCTATGTTTATAAGGTAAATTGAAAACAGAACTATTGGAAGAACCTGTTATGTAGACAGCATTTACATTTTTCAAGATAGTCTCCAGTAGGGTTTTATAGTCAATGAGTAAATTATGGCTTTGTTTGAATTTCTCATTAAATAGAAGATGTGCCAAAATCATTAATGTGTTCATTTTTCCCTTGATTTATGTGTTCTGATTAATAACATTCGGGTTTAACCAGTATGTAGAATTGTTTTAAGAGCACAGATTTAGAACCAGACTCCTGGGTTTGAATCCTGGCTCTGCCAATTATATGTTATGTGACCTTGAGTAAGTTATTTAATTCTCTCTGCCTCTGTTTCCTCATTGGTAAAGTGGGGCTAATAATAATATCTACCTCATTGGGTTATAAAGACTTTCAATAATTAGTACTACATGAAAAGCGCTTAGAACAGTGCCTGACATAGTAAGAACTCAGTGCTAGCTATTGTTTTTGCTATAGTCGTCATCTTCCTCCCCTTCCCCCCCTCCCCTC